GTCTCCAAAACTTGGTTCAGGAATCACAACATTGAGACTATTGACTGGCCCCCCTTTTCTCCGGATCTCAACCCCATCGAACACCTCTGGTGGGCACTCAAAAAGAAACTCCATGAGCTGCACCCCGAGTTTGACTACATGGGCGACACAGAAAGGGAGTGGGATCAGTTTGAAAATGGGTTGCGAGAGGCCTGGTCTGCCATACCTGATTCTTTGATTACCAAACTGATCTCGAGTATGCCGCGACGCCTCGACGCCGTGCGCACTGCACATGGTTATCAAACAAAATATTAAGATTAATAGCTTTAATTTGATTATTTCAAAATTAATTTTGGACGTGGTTTGGTGGAGCTGCACGGGGTTGAAGTTATGGGAAAAAGTGGTGATCGTGGCCCGTGCGCTCGGGGGAACAGACTTTTGAGCTAGTACTGTATAATATAGAGTAGCTAGGGAGCTTTAAAGGGGTCCCATTAGTGTTTATAAATACTGCCTCTTAAGTAAGGTTTTTATATAGTATCTTTAGTAATTTTCGTGCCAGCCGATAGATAATCTTTATCTGATAGGGTGATATTATCTTTAGACAGCCAGAGCGAGGCTTATTATCTATAGTACTAGTATGGTGAAATTTTTTATATAGTTTTCTAATCGTGGAGAGGTCATGCCTAAAAACCTCACCTATCTCTCTAAAGCTTGCGCCGCCTCGCAACATCCCGGCCGCAATATTACGCTCAGCAGTTGTCATATTTCGGCGACGGCGCACATTTTGAGATACCGCTTGGCCAAATTGGCGTGGTGTAGCGTTAGTGGTGGGCATTCAAAGAATGGGGCAAAGTTGGTGTTGGTGGGGCAGGGGAGCTTAGCGAGGCCAGACTTTTGACGAGTAGCTGTAGGAGCAATTGCTTTGGTAAACAAACGAACAACAACTCAAAGACTACGCGTTACATACCGTAAACAGGTGCTTTCGGGCTTCCAAGGGTATTAGGGAAAGAACTTTCAAGCACGGTGAGATTCATCTTTGTATGCATTGGAGCAGCTTTGTCGATATTGGATATAAACATGATGATTTTTCCTTTACACCACTGAACATAATTCTCATGTAGTAAAGAGATGCGATTAGAAGCAAAACCACGTTGCTACCCTCTTCCCTGTTCCTTTCCATCCGTTCTCCTCCGGCTCCATATCATCCTTTGTATACACATCCGTCTCCAGATCCATCTCGCTCGCTCTCCTGAACTTGGTCTTCTTGATAAGCTTCCATGCTACAATCATGACGAAGAAGATTGGTAGCTCGAGATAGAAGCTAACAAAGTCTACAGAAGCAAAGCTGGGGCTGAAAGCGGTCCAGCCTTGAACCAAGACGATAAAGGTGTTGAGAACGATGCAAACAATGGGGCCCCACGGATACATCCAGTTGCGAAAGGGGAGAAGGTGTTCTTTGCCTTGGGCTTTGAGGCCGGCGCGGAAGCGGAGAGATGAGATGCCGATGCATATCCAGCTCAGTTGGTTGGAGACACCGACAATGTTTTGCAGCCATGTCCACACTTGGCCGGATCCAGCAAAGGAGAGGGAAAAGAGTACAATTGATACGATACTCGTCGTCATGACCGATACCCACGGGACTTGGTAGCGTGTCAACTTGGTGAAGACTTTGGGCGCATGGCCGTTGGAGCCGAGGGTGTAGAGCAGTCTCGATCCGGCGTAGAGGGCGTGGTTTCCAGCGGAAATAACGCTAGTGAGGATTACAGCATTGACAAATGATCCTGCAGCCTTTGATCCTGCCATCTGGAACGCAATTGTGAATGGCGATGTACGACTGGACTTTGTACTGAGCCCAGGGTAGTTGTAAGGGATGTTGAAGCCAATCATTATAGCTGTAAGGATGTAGAAGAGCAGAATGCGCCAAAACACATTCTTCACTACCCTTGGAAGGGTGCGAGCTGGATCGCGCGTCTCTCCTGCTGTAATGGCAATCGACTCGGTTCCTCCATATGCAAATGAGGCTGTAACAAAGACGGACGCGAAGCCACCAATACCTCCCACGAATGGCGCGTCGCCGATAGTCCAGTATTTCCCTCCGATATAGCCATAGCCATCATTTCCACCAGCATTCACTGCAATGCTCAAGATGATGAAAATGATAATGGTTACCACCTTGAGCAAGCTCAGCCAGTACTCCAGTTCGCCGTATGCCTTAACGTTAATAATGTTGGCTAGGACAATAAGCACCCATACGGCGATTCCCAACGCATACCAGGGAACACTATCGCTCCAATACCGGATCAACAACTGAAGCGCAACCAAATCTGCTGCTGTGCTGACAGCGTCGTTGAACCAGTAATTCCAGGTAAGTGCAAAGCCAAACGCATCGTCCACGTAGCGCCCAGCAAAGGTGCAAAAGGATCCTGCTACGGGAACGAAAGCTGCCATCTCCCCCAAAGACAGCATGGTGCAGAAGACGATGAAGCCAACAATAGAATAGCAGATGAGTAGAGAAGCGGGTCCTCCAGTCGCGAGGGCCTTGCCGGTACCAAGGAAGAGTCCGGTTCCTATGGTTCCTCCAATCGCAATCATCTGAACTTGACGTGCTGAGAGGGACCGTCGCAAGCGGTCCTCATTGATGAAGTGTGAAGGTGTTTCCGTCAGGGTGTCTGGCGATGTCGCGACATCGCGGGGAGCTTTCTCGGGGTCCACGGCCGTCATTGTGTTTCGATACAGCAGTATCAGGATGCGATATAATGCAAACAAAGAGCAGTAAGCGAAGCTCAGAGACGAGACTTAAGGAAGCTTTTCATGGCAAAAGCTTGGGATGCCTTGGGGATCCAACACAAGGCGGGCTTGGGTGCATACATGGTTTGCGCCACGAGTCAGCGATCATTTCTGCGTTTGCAGTAGCAGCTAGGCTGCGGGTAACAGAGCACGCCATTTCTCTCGCCTTGGATTGGGTGGGAAAGAGGGGAGTTGGAGAAAAAGTTAGGGTTACATTTGCCTCTGGGTGTCCACCTGCATAGGATTTCTGCAACGCTAGACGAATTGGGCTAGTACTCCCGTAAGCAGAAGAATACGAACCTTATTAGTAAGGCCAAAATCTTGACAATGGCGTCATTGTTGGAATAATAAGATGCATTTCTTGATATGGCTTGAAGTGAAAAGAGAATCCCGATCGGGCTTTTCGGTCACGATGAGCTTTGGGGTCTTTCTAGAATGCATCTCGAACTAGGCTGTCGAACTCTGCATCGCATACCTCGGAAGAAGTGGAAACGAATCTCGGGCTCCATACACTTTTCACCGATCGCTATGACCGTCTGGTAATGTTCTCCACCAGGTATCCTACCAAGTCACTGCACCTCTCTTCATGTATTTTTCTTGCCCTCCGAATTGATCGCTGCTGTCCTTATTTAGTCAAGTCCTTCAAGAGCATAATGTTTCACTTTCCCTTCCTCATTTCCAAGGCATACGCAACATCAATCCCAACACCAAACACCATATGCCAGAAAAATGTATATATTAAGAATAAGTGGTATAATGCTGCTATCAAGTCTGAACGATTCCAGTCCCAAACGTCTTTTTTCCTAGCCGCCCCTTCATTCGCGCAGCATTAAGCCAGTTGGCCACGAACCGCACCAGGCAGCGCCAAACTGGAGTGAGTGTCTGCCATGAATGCAGCAGGGTTCGCCTCAATCATGTTCACGTGGAAGCCCTCGCCTGAATCCTTGCCCTCGACCATGACACCAGTAGTAAAGGGTCCCTTCAGACATCCTGCGCTGTTTCGCACTGCCACATCTCCATTAACCGGTTCTGGGTTGGGGAATGCGATTCTGGGTGGTCCGCTTGCGCCGCGCGCAGCCTCGTGGATGTGGGTAGCAGTTGTGGCTGGGGAGTCGAACTCGCCCTGGAAGTTGTGCAGGGTGATGTTGTAGCAGATCATGTTGGCTGCGCTGTTGATTCCGAAGTTGAATGTTCCGGAAGCGCCAGCGATACCACCTGTAGGCTCTGTACCGTTGACGACTTCCTCGGGAACGGCGTGAACAGCGTGCATGGAAGTGAATGCGAAGAGTTTGTTGGCATCGAGTGCATTTACTACTGCTTCGTTGTTGCTGATGTCGATGGAGAATGATAGTTGCATGTGGCCGTTGCCGAGGTCCATGGGTGATGCGGTAATTGGCGCGGCCACTGCGCTGAGGACCAAGCTCGCTATGGTAGTGAGGGTTGCGGTATACATTATGAGTATTGTTGATCTGAAGAAAACAATCCAAAAGGCGTTGAAGAAAGTCGTATGAAACGAGCGTACAGACTTGAAAGAAGTGAAGGAGGAGAGAAGAAAGAATGTGTGAAGAGACTGATCAACAGTGAATTACTCCTACCGAGTTCTCCCATCGGCACGTTGTGGCATTTATATATATGCGCGCTGCGGAAAATTTTGAGAAATCGTACGTGAATGCCTTAGTACCAAGGCTTGGTGTTGGCCTGGATGCACGAATCCCGATATTTGAGGCAACTCTGCGACACATTACAAGTTTCGCACATCTTGGCCCACCCAACACCTGGAGAGCCAGTTTGACCAAACAGTTGTTGTAAACAACCACCGCCAATAACAAATGCTCCCACAGACGGAATACATGGGTGCGGATGCGCACGGTAACTGAGGCTGGTAGAAGCCTTTCTTGGACGTGTTACTTGTGCATCCAATTCGGCATGAAGGGGCGCCTCGCGTCTTGGCCCAGCGATGCCATAGCCGTTTGCGTATTTTTTTGCTTATTTGTCGTCCGATTTTATGAGTCGCCATCCTCGGGCAAGCTGGTTTGTAACGGATCAGCGGAGGAAACGCATGCGTTGAGGCTGAAGAGGATTCGCGGCTGTCTACCTGCCAAGCCCGTCATGTAGGTTGACGTGAATTTCCCGCTGTATAGCTCTTTCGATCATGTGACGAGATGTAGTGGTAGTACATTCGGAGGGCTTTGTCAAGGCTCAATGACAAAGGCAAATCAGTCCCAAAGTCCGCTTAGCATGTCATATCCATTACGCTCGCCGTTCAACTGTACCCGAGGCCATTGCTGAACCTCGGCGTACAGCACAAGAGATACCAGGCTCGGAGTTGGTGAGGAAGTGACAGGGAGTTATTGTTTCGAGACATAGAGACAGTACATAGTATATATGTACATATAGGTACATACGTACTGCCTGTCGTGTTGGAGAAGTGAATAGTGCGTCATAGAAGTTCGGAGAGCACGGGACCGCCACCCGCCGCGTCATCTGGGGATCCCGCCAGTACATTCCTCCGCCTCACAACAAAATGCTTGGCAGAACACAGCCCCTCAGGCTTCGTATAATGGACTTTCTCACACGCAGTCAGCCAGACTGACCAGCTCTCCGCTCCTATTCTCCTCCTCACTTCTCTACGCCATGGCTCCATTGCATGCTGACCCGCCGATTCCTTCGTATGAAGAAGCTGTCGTCGCATCTCCGCGTACAAGTGTACCAACAACTCCGCTGCCACCGCCATCTGAACCCACACCGGCGGAACGGGATCCCCCAGAGTCCGAGGCGGCGCCTGCGATCAGTTCTGCATTGCCCCCACCGGAATTACCGCCCGCCTACGCCGTCGTTGATGAGAAAGCCACTACCTTCACCATCTATGGTACCTTCATTCACACCCCCAATGCCCCGGCCTACCAGCTCTCCTCCCTCCTCGATACATCCATCAATAGACTAGGAATGCGCAGACTGCGTGCAGAAGAAGTCACGATGCTCCAAGCTGGCGCACCAAATGTCCCATTCACCAGCAGCGGGCTCCTCTACGAAGCCCACGATCCGCCTTTCCTCATAAATGAATACTACGTCCAGGGAAAGTCCGCTCGTGCACTTCCAGGCTTCCTACAAGTGCGATTTGGTCTACGACGCTGGCACGTCGCACACGTGCCGACACAGGGCAGTCGGCCAGTCGAGATAATGACATGTGGGAAGCTTGGGGGTTTCACCAAAGCCATCAAACAGCGCAAGAACGAGATGGAGCCTAGTCAGTGGAAAGACTCGGAAGGCCATGTCGTTGCCACTGAGGTGATGAAGATGGGCTACGGAGGGAAGATGCCAACAATCGAGTTAAGGAGCGATCTCGACCAGACGTGTAGGGAGTTGATTCTCGCACTGTGGGTCACGAGGCTGTGGGCAGCTTTTGGTGCGGGAAGCAGCTTTATGACATGAAACCGTGATGCACAATATTCGCGGAAAGTGACACGCATGAAGGGACGTTACGATTTGTTTGATTATTGATTCGATTTTGGGGGTCGTTATTTAGGCATTTCTTCAGGCTGAGGCTTCCGCCGTTTATTCCTTTCGGACAACCCTCTTGAACCCCTGGCGCTCAACCTGGGCTTGCGCGGCCGCAATCACGGCGGCGGCATTGGGGTCATTGAAACCGCAACCCGTCTTTCCGTTCTGTTGACTCACTACTTCAGCACTGCACACACCGTCGCCAGTCGAAGCAACCTGGGCGCAGCACCCTGAGCTGCAATCGGCATCGGACACGCATCCACCTGTGATGAATTGCGCGCCGTTTCCTTGGCCAACATTCTTAGCACCCGCGTTGTTAGGCGTGACCTGAGCCATGCACATGGCGGCAACTTGAAAGTGTCAGCTCCACATTGTTATAGTGATATATGGGCTGCCATCTACTTACGAGTGAAGAGAGTGGCGATGGTGAAACGCATTCTGGATTGATTTAATGGATGGTTGGTTATATGAAGAGTTGGGTATATGCTTGATGAGAGAAAGAGATATGTACGTGAGTCAAAGACACCAGGTCAAAGAATCCGCAGTCACAGACGGCGAATTGAGAAGAGAGTATTAGGTGGTGGGATCTTGAGGTTGGAAGTGAAGCTGCTCGTCGAGTTGGCTCTTAGGTATACTACATTTATATCCCCTTGAGGCTCCTGAGTGCATAGTCCCCTTTTCTCGTCACCATCACCGCGAGCGCGTGACGGCATGAGCGGGATCCTGAGGCTGTTGATGCGTGATCTCCTATTGTGCAACGTCCGACTAGTAGTTGGTGAACACTTGCAGTGCCACTCTTCCGCTTCACAGTCCAAGCATCTCCATACGCACCGTCGCATATAGCCTCGCTTCTGTGCCACATAAATGATCGAGTAGCAAGCATGATGCTGGTGTCCATTGTCGCGTCTCCCAGGCCAATCATAATTGACGCGGCGATGGGGCTGAGCTCCATAGCACGTTGTCTCGGCATGCGTTTCAGGCATTCACTCGGGCGTGACGCGCGTGTCAAATGTGTCAGATGAGTTTGACATATTAACCGCATTAGAACGGAAGGATCACGAATAGTCGTGGTATTATAGATACATCCAAGCTGGACATTTTTTGCACATTAAGTCATTCCTCCACATTACGATTGCCACCACTGTTTTGTATGTACACATCGTTGGAGCCATTAGATCTGCCACGCCCTTGTCGTTCCCTTGCATTACATTACGGCGCGTCGGTCTTCTTCTTTTGAGTAGATTCTCTCCCTCAAGTCATTCCATCGTATTCACACCGAGTCGAAGAAATCCATGATGATTCTACTCGCTTGGATGACCGTAGGTCCTTGCTGCGCATACGACTGCGAGAAATTGGGTTCGGTATCAGCCCAAGCATGGCCTATGATCGTTCTTTAGCCACAACCAACAGCAAATACTCCTAGTCCAAAGGAAAAAAAAAACAGGATAGACTTACCCAAATGCATGACTTCGTAATGCTGGAGTAGACCGGATTTCCCATCGCAACCCCAGGACCAATGTCGCACCTCGCTCCCAAACGTAATATTCACACTGCTGCTCTCACACTTGTAGCGCAGCGCCCATGAGTTCAGCCAGTTGAAGATTGAAGGTAGTTCGCCGCCTTCACCCTTGCCGCCCGCGTAAGGGACGTCCTTGTCAGCTCCACCATGGATTTCCAGCAAGGGTACCTCCTTCGACGGCGCACACCCATTATCGGGCCCATTGACATCCGTGTAGAAAGCGCCCGAGTGCGCTGCCAGACCCGTAAAAAGCGAACTCCCCTTTTCATCGCATGCCAGTGTTCCAACGAAGCCGCCGCCATTAGACATGCTAACATATATCCGCGTCAGCACCGAATATAAAAAACCTGGCAAGCACAACGCGTGACACAACCACATGTCAAAGTCGATCAAAAAGCCGTAAACCTACTCAGTGAGAAAGAAAAAAACAGTCAAACTTACCCAAATGCAAATACCCTTGCTTCGTCAACACAGAATCTGTTCTCCACATTCGCGATCACATCCGCTACAAACTGCACGTCCTCCCCCACACTCGTTGCATTGTGATACGTCGGCCCCGCCCAACTTTCCCCAGCCCCTTCCGGATACACCATGATCTTACTGCCGGAATAGGTCTCGTTGTTGAGCTTCGTGTCTAGCGGGACGGTCATTGCACTGCTCGGGCTGCCATGGAAGCCGAGGACGAGCGGGTACGCGGTATCGCTGTTGTAGGTGGATGGGAGATGGATGTAGTAGCTGCGATTTTGGCCGCTGGAATCGAGGTGTTGGGCTGGGAGGCTTAGGTCTTTGTGTGAGATGCCACAGCCGCGTGATTTTTGGGGGGCAGCGAGGGTGCTGGTGAGGAGGGTGGAAATTAAGAGGATGAGCTTGGATAGTGTCATGGTTGTTTGCTTGATGCTTTTGTTGCAGCGATACTATGTCTACGGGACGTTGAGAGTTCACGGGGTGGTAGGTAGTTCTTGGCTGCGGAGATATAACTATGGGGTTTTAGACGCTAGTTGATAAGGTTTAGAGGCCTTTCTTACTACATCACCCGACGTCATGTATACAGGGGACTGGATGTAAGCGGGTTCGCAATAGCATGGTGTTCCACAGTAAGTATAATGGTGAGCCGTGTTCGGCGAACCAATCGAATGATTACGAGAACACTCTCCGGAATCCTGCTTTGCGACTTCGACATATGGGGAGGGTTACCGGCGAACACATTCCAAGCTTCGTCGGTGGCTTTGAAACGATATTGAGTTGTGCAAGCTTTCATATACTAACTTTGATATCCCGTCAAGGTAAGCATGTATTGCCGGGTAGTATATGCTAGTTGCCGCTCTCTTATGCCCTTAACAGTCACACTCGCCAGGACGTCCGACTATAGTTGCCGACTACTCGAGAAAAGGGTCAACCAGCAGAAAACTAGGTACACGGGCAATACGGTGTGAAATGATTGGTAGTGAGCGATGGGCGGCATAGGCATTCGTACAGGCCCCATCATTCTTACATGCGTGGACCTTTTCCGCCGTGGTCCGATGCTGATAGACTGGGGGAAAAAAACTCGCAGAAGCCAATCATACAGCAACAGAACCTGTAATTTTCATGATTGATTGAATCTGAATCACATGCTGCTCCTAACATCGACTTCCTGATGACCCGGGCTCGGTGGTACATCGCCCGTTTCCCATACCGTCTGTTCATGACCCAGCGTAAACACAATGTCTCCGCCCTCTGTCATAATTCCACCGGCATCCTCATGCTGGAACCAATTCTTATCCCACTGTTGACTGTTGATACTAATACTCTGCACATAGTATCCTTGCTTCTCATCCCCATCATCCAATCCTTCAGCTCGGATTCTAAGAGTCTTGTCATGGTTTACTGTAATGTTGATGTCGGAAAACCAAGGACTCTCGAGAAGATACACGGGTGTTGTGACGATTGGATACAGGCCCAGCATTTGCCAAACCAACCAACAATTCAATGCGCCAGCATCACTATTTCCAGGTATACCGTTTGTGGTGTTGAAATAGAAATCGTTGGCAAGCTGACGGGATCTCTCAACACTCTTCCACTGCTTGTTGAGATAGTTGTAGAGGTACGGCGTTTGGAAGTCCGGTTCGTTGGCAACATTGTTAATCGTCGTGATGCCGAGTCCATTGACACCTAGATCGACACCAGATGTGTTTGGTTGGAAGACGTAGTCGAGTCGCTCTTCAAAGTGCGACAGACCGCCCATGAGGGTAATCACGCGTGATACATCGTGAGGAATGACGAATGAGTACTCTGTTCAAATTAGTACGTCGTAAAGAATTAACACGTGGTCGAATCAGCCCACCAAATGAAGTTCCCTCATAACTTTCATCCTGCCAATTGCATTCGCCGCAATCGGTAATGTCATATGTTTTATGAAAAGTACCGTTCGCATATCGTGGCATAACGAAGCCAGTGAAGTTGCGACTCGATGCTTCGGGATCCCAGCTCAATTGCCAGCCTGCCGACCTCCGCAAGTAGAGATCCTGCTCGCCAGGCGCTTCTCCTGCTGCAATCTGACTTACAGCAAAATCGTTGAGCGAATATTCTACCGTTTTCGATACTGCGCGCGTGTTCCTATCCGCTGAAACGTACCCGAGCGGTATCCAATCATCGAGCGCTGACCGACCCTCCTTGAGAGACCCTTGTGGATCAACGGGATTTTGGTCGAAGAAAGGCAGAACATCGGCATCTTTCTTGACCGCTGCATAGCCCTCGGTCCAATTGATCATACCCCTCAATCCTTTGACGTAAGCGTCAGCAAGAACATTGTCGGCATTTGATCCTCCTTGTACCAGCCCATTGTAGTTTCCAGACCGCCCATCAGGTAGATACCCTTCATTCTTGAATATATCAATCAAAGATCTGATCATTGATTCGTAATAACTTGGTTGAATGAGATGCCATAGCGAGACTTGGTTTCGGAAAAGGTCCCACATCGTGTAAAAGTCATCCCAAGACGGCTCATCAGACTCCCACAATGGGTTCTCGCCTATCCGCTCGCTTGGGATAAGGTGCATGAAGTACAAACTTGAGTATAGCAGCGCAAGTCGCGTTTTATTTGCGCGCTCAGATGTGTCAACCCGAATTTTGGAAAACACATCACGATTCCATTCGTCGCGCGCTGCGTGAGCAGTGTCTTCGATGGACCAAGTAAACAGCTCAACGTTCTTGTATGCGCAAGCTTTATCCACAGACATAAAGGAAATTCCAACTCGGGATTTGATCTCAGTGGCATTGCTCCAAGTGAAGAGCGCGCCAATACGGTCATTCATGGGCCCTGAGCGAGCTGTGTTACCAGTAAATGTGGGTTGCGGTGTTGTACCGTTGTTGAACGTCCGAAAGTGCCGACCCACAGGGAACGTATTCTGGCCTTTGAATGCTCTCGCCTCATCGGGTACGCTATCAAACTCTCCGCATACGTAAACGGTGACTGGTGCACCAATATTCCATCCTCCAGCAATGGAGGTGTAGCCAGTGTAGATACTAGAATTATGCTGAATCTCGATCTCGCCGCCTGTGTAAAATTGACAGTCCCAGGTTCGAGTTGGATGCGGGAGATAGTGCGACAGATCCACCAATACGTGTTTCTCTGAAGTTGATGGGTAGGTGTAGTGGTGCAGTCCTGCGTGTCGTGAAGCTGACAACTCGACTTGTACACCCGATTCAAACTCTGTGCGAAAGTAGCCTACTGAAGCCACATCTTCACCGACCTGGAATTTTGTCAGCCAATGCAGGATGAACATTGCTACTCAACGCACGCGATCTTGCCAGTATGTGCGATTGTCCAGCAAGTTGACATCGCCATCAATTTTTGTGAGCGGCATCTGAGAAGGATACCCGTATTTCGGACCTCCTCCCGTTCCGGATTGATGTAACAAACTGATACCCGTGACATGACCTTGTGGCGTATATCCGCCATTCAGCGCGGATTGATTGATAGGCTCTTCGTAGCTGTCGATGCCCAGTTTGACCATGCCAAAAGGAACTGCACCACCTACGAAGACGTCGCCGCCGCCATCTTTACAGTATTAATAATTTGATAAGGACCGAAGATCAGATGACTTACATGCATAGCCGGGTATAGCGCCCTCAGTCCCTATGAACGGGTTCACGAATTGCGAGTAATCGACTTCCTGTGCATCTGCATATTGTCGCTGCACAATCGCAAGTACCGCGAGTATCTTCGAACTAAACATTTTGAAAAGAGGTGATGTAGTAAAAAAGAAAGTACATCACCTCTTTTCACAATGCGTATTCCCCCACCTTTGCGCACCATTTTCAATGTACCCCGCTCATGCACGTCACTTCCATAGTCGCAATCATTAGCCTTTATCAAGCATCGAGGTTACATTGTTGGGTATTCCTTCAATGCAACTGGGGATGTAGTATAGTATGACGTAGCTGTTGGCGTCCCGCCTTCCCCGTCTGGTACTTGCCAAGATGCGGAGTTGGCTTTGGGAGGAGGCGTGACATGCTTTACAATGTTTTGCATTTATTTTTAACAATATTCAGATTTAAGAACTCAAGTTATCTACTAGCATAGTACCTAGACGTAAGATTTTACTTACGTAGCTATGCTTGGTTAAAGCTTACTAGTGCTATAGTAGTCTCATAGACATAACTAAAGGTTAAAATTTTCAATAGCTCTTATTATCTAGATTATCTTCTTCGGTGCTTTCGGTATTTCATACTTCATCATACTCAATAGAAATGAGAGGATTGATTTGAATTCCCGTGTCTTCGACGTATGTAGGTATAGGATCTGAGGCCTGGAACAAGTCACACTCTACTATTTCCGTAAGCATATTCCCATGAACTCCTGCTTTTAACTCTTCCATTCGAATATGCGCGTTGGAAAGAGTGGGGTTCAGATCTAGAGCTCTCCGCATTGCCTCTAGTGCATCATCACTTTGGTTTCGACAATTATCGTACTGGTGGGAAGTGTTAGTTGCTGAAGCGGATTTGAAGCATGTGCTTACAAGAACCCCAAGATTATATCATGACTCCTACGAGTACGGGTTCAATCGGATGCTTCTTGCTATAGGTTCATGGCTGCCAAGATATTGGCTAAGCTCGAAGTAGAGTACTCCAATCGTAATCCAAACATTAGGAATCATGGTATTATATTGGGCGCAGAGGCTCAGTGGATCGTATGCTTCCTGTAAGTGACCTTTTCCTATAAAGGCTCTCCCCAAAAGATAGCGAAGAATCCAATCGTTAGTTTCTACTCTACATGTCAGTTTTCATATAGTTACTCATATAATTAGTCAACAGACAAACCTACCGCTATCGTCCGTCTCAGGCGATGGATAGCTTCATCAATTTGCACTTCACTAAGCGCATGCTAGTTGAGGTATAAATTCGCTTGAAAGTCTGATGCATCATCCCGAAGCTTCTTGTAAGCTTCTTCTGCAGAAGTGAGAGGAGGCGGCCGCTCATATACCTGTATCCTTCGAAAAAAGCTAATGGAGTCTTTGCAAATTTGAACAGAACCCACCGCCAAGCCGTCAGTTTTCTGCACACGCGCATGAACGCTGACCTGTCTTGGGATAGGGTCGAGTGGTGGGACTCTAGCGTATAACTTCAGCGGTAGAGTATGAAGAAGCGTGGAGCTCGGCAATCGACTATATGTTAAGCTGCAACATATTAGTACTCGAGTCATTAGCCTCGCAGGACTGCCCACCATATCTTATCAACTTCATCAACTTGGCTCAATAACGTTCCAGCACAGGAGGGATAAGGGCACGCATCTTTCGAAATAGGAAGCCTGGGGACAGCCATCGCTTGCTTTATGTGGGCACCTGGTCTAATAGTTGAGTTCCACCGATGTGGTTGGCCGATCGAACGCCCCGTCTTCGCAAGTGTAAGTTGAAATTGGCCTCGTATTATGTAGTCCAATCCCGGTCGCTGGTTTCCGTAGACAACCACCTTTAGTATGACTGTGAACGACTTTTCAGATGCAGCTAGTCAGCTGAAATGTGCAAAGGGCATTGCATCGACCAAAGCATCTTACATTCCATGTTTGACACGCTTGAAAAGGCAAACCCCAGCTTTCTCCAAGTGCATCGTCAAGGCGGATTATGTCGACCAAAAGATGTAGGGGAATAGATTCGATGGCTCAAGCAAGCCTTTCCATATGACTTGCCATATCAAGAAGCATGCGGCTAGGCGGTTTTGGTGTTCGACATCTTTGGCCACGTAGGTGGGAGAAGACAACTAACGTGCTCTGGATAATGGCTTCCAGCATATCTTTCGAATATTTCGAGAACCTAAAAGATTTAGCCCATACTGTGCATCGAAAGTTGTGACAACAACCCACAAGTGAAGAAGCTTCCTCAAGTCATTCAAGACGGAATACAACCGCGCTACTTCTCGCAAAATTCGAGCTTTACTAGAGCGCATTATCTCCATGTTATTCTTCCCTTGAACAAGTATTTCTGTTACCTGAGATTTTAGCCCTGGAACTACTTATGTCATCTATGTGTCCCGTCTGATCTGCTGTTCTCCCTTTCGAGCGATTTCCAGTTGTATATTGGTGATTGAATCGGGTAGATTGTGTACCAGGTCCAAGATCATGGAGGTCTTATCCAAAATGACATCAGGGTTTTGATGGGAGTCTATTGAGCGAGCAGACAATGGTTGACTATGGCTCGTATCCGCTCGGGAATCTGCTTGTCGTCTTGATCGTCTGTTTGGGCTTTGACCACGTGCATGAGTGTACGTTGTAGCAGGCCAAGTTCGATAGATTTTGAAATTGTGTTGGAGCATTGTGATAATTCTTAAGCTCGATCGCGACTCGCTCAAAAATTCCACCACTGTGATGAAGTCACCGATGTCGAATCCAAAAGACATCGTGGACCACTGCACTTTTGAAACTACTGGCACTAGTGTGGGGAGGACGGGGTGGCCACCCAAGGCTCCTTACCTCAGTCCACAGCATTGACGGTAAATTGCGGGGTAAACTAGAACATTCAATAACGGCGCGCAGATAGTAATGATGGATAATCACCAGAGTAGTTGATAGAGCACCGTTGAGTTACGAAGCTCAGCTGCAGTGGGGCAGTGCAAGCCATAAACGAGGCTAAGCCCCTTCGCACCACATCAGCTGGCCTGACAGCGACGATATGAATATTTAAGTCCAGTTGTATTTTACCTCATTTTTAAGCTGATTTTTGAGCTCGCGGTGATTCTGGTGTTCATCACGTAATAAGGCGCTACCTAAATCTAGAGATTCCTAACATCTTAGCATAACTACTTTGCACAGAGCTTCTTAGAGATGATTAGATCACATTTCTTTGTGTACCAGACCTCCTTTGCGACCAATTGTGATATTTAGCTAAAGCTTCAACTACATCGTTTATAAAATGAGTAACTCCGAAAGCCCATCTACCGGTGCTGAAGGAGCGATACAGCTTGAGCAGTGTATAGAATACGTTGCTCAAGCTGCACCCCCATTCAGTACCGCCAGCTGAGTTTCCAGAGTTACTCATTAAATGAATGATATTCGAACAAGACACGACTGACGTGGGTAGCAAACCTCCAAACTGAGGCAATAAAAGAGAAAGTCGCAGTGGAAAGAGCAGGTACTAAAAATCAAGAAGAGCATATAACAAACGCATACGCCACGCCAGTCGTGCAAATATCTCGCCATCCCAGACCACGATCCCAAGCCTCAGAAGTACAAAGCCATTAGATACCACAGATCGGTATCCAATGCGAAGAAATGTTTAGTGAACACAAACAAAATGATAAAGAGAAAAGAAATTGCAGCCGTTTCTCACTTCCTCTGGTTGAAAGGGAAGCCACCGGCGGGACCATATCGAGAAGAGCCCAGCCCAGGGAAGCCATAACCGGGAGATCCATTTTCAGGCATGCCGTAGCCATTGTTTTGTTGTCTGGCCTGAGGCATATGTGGTTGGGGCGTGTGTGGATGACCACCAGCAGTGCGATACACCCCTTGGAGCGTAGCATTCATTTGTGAATGCATGGCTGTCATATATGCGGTGAATGCCGGCGCTAGTTGATCTTCCGGTGCTTCTGCAATGGCTCTCTGGTAGTACTCGTTCGTGGCCAAGTTGTTAAACTTTTGTTTCCGGTAGAATGTGATCATGGCCGCCCTTTCCTCATCCGCCTTGCTCAGAGCGCTCTTGAGGGTTTCGATCTCAGCGGCCTGGGTGGCTTTCTCGCGCTCCAAAGCATCGACCTTGTGTTCTAGGCAGTCGAAACGGTGGCTGAGGGTTATGCCGTTGCTACCATAGGCTTGGACAAAGCGATTCAAGCAAGAACCCAGTTCGGCGTGTTCCCTGTAGAGATTTGTGGAAAGATCGCCGACGTGTTCCCGAAGTGAGTGCTGGTCGCGCACCATATTCTCAAAGCTCCGTGCAATCTTCTTCATGTCCTCATCTTGTTGATTGACAGTTCCAAAGATACCAAGTACTCGCTCCTCGATTCCCGAGATCTGAGTCTTTGCGTCTTCAAGTGATGCAGTGAGAGCCTCCAAAGCGAGATTGAAGCGATCTTTGGCTTCACCAAGGGCCTTGATCAATATAGTCTGGCCCCAAGCCTTGGCTTCGCACCTCCCCAGCCTCTTCATGACTGCTTCGTGGGAATCATGGAACTCTTGATGAAGGTAGTCCCAAACGAATGTCAGGAATGGCTCCAGGAGAGTGAGCAGGGCTAGAGATAGCCAGGGGTAAATCGCATATGGGTGTTCGGAAACGGCTTTTTCGAGCATGAATATTCTGATCGAGTTAGTTGATGAACATGGTAAGATTTTGCATACAACATATACGTACCCATCAATCTGAGGTATCTCCATATAGAAGCTCACAATAGACTCGAGATGTTTGAAAATGGTGTAGTACACCATGAGCAGTAGAGTGTGGACCAGTCCCATGACAAGGCCTAAAGTGAGAGAGTTGAGGTGGCCAGGGATATCCTGGATGGTTTCGAAGATGATACCAGTCCCAGGTTCGATCGTTGGATCATACACAGTCTGGTCTGGAACAAGTTGCTCCCCGGGAGCGACATCGAGCGTGGGGGTCGCGTTGATAACTAGTATGACCTCCAGTTCAGCGAAGCCGGTCATATTGTAGAGACTGTGTTCTGAGACGCTATATAATTTGGAACATTCATGGCTAGTTCTACAGCCACTTGTGAGCTCGAAATTCGTGATATTCGAGTTGTGAGGGCGGAGGAGGGGATCTGATATCATGCCGGTTGCCCTCAATACCGCAAGGACCAGTACTGCGATAGGTGACATGATGATAGCTGAGTGTATAGAAGATCTATTGATGATTGAGTGTCTGAAGAATCGATTAATGGTTGAACATATCAAGGAAAGACTGGTGGTTGAATACTGTGTTGAGAGAGGATTTATAATTGAGGGAAATGCAGCTATATTAATAGTGTAGAAATTCTGCCAAGGGCAGGTTGCCAGGAGGTTTTCACTGGTTGCAAGTTGGGTGAAAGTGAAAGCCGCAGTAACATCCTGCAAGTGACGCCAAGCAGTTCTCTGCCAGCTGCCTAGGGTGTGAAAACACAATTCCCTGCCAGCTTCCTGGGGCGTGAAAGGCAATGCTTTGCTAGCTGCTTGAGTCTTGAAAGTGAATGTGTTCACGTGGTATTTTGCTTCCCACCTTGTCCTCCCAAATCGGTAAGGCAAATGAAAGGAAACTCGGAAATGTCGACATTTTAGGCAGTGGCTTGAAATCCAGCCATTGAAGAGCCCTCAGTGTCAGAGCGCTTTTCTGTGAGTCCTTGCTTTCTGTCATACTGATATTCCTCGGCTCAGTCCAAAAATCGAACATGATTGCCTTTTGTAGCCCGGCGCAACACCCTCAGCGTCATAGTAACTTTCTGCAAAACCTTGCTTCCAATTGTTGTGTTGATATTCCTCGGCTCAATCCAAATATCGAATAAACTTTCGTCTGCAATCATGAGATGAAAAAGTTTGTGCTCTCGTTGACAACGGTCTACTTGAGTCCTGATAGATAGTTGAAAATGATGGCGCGGGTGCCGCTCTTGACGTTATAGATACACAATTGCACCACAACAATGCTCTAGCTGCGACAGATACTCTAGCTGCGGCCAAGGGGAGTACGTAGTGGAGATTCTTAATACCGATCAGATCGCATTTCTTCCTGCACAAACCCCCCCTCCCCTTCGAGTGATCGTGATATGCAGCTAAAGCTGCAGACATATACTAGTATTGCTTGCTAAATCAGTGTTTGTACGGTACCCTGTAGCATTTGATTTCCAAGAACTTTTGATGTTTATTTATTTCTTTCGTTAATGAAGCGATCTAGTAAAGACCCATCGGGAAGGATTTGCGACTCGACCCAACCGACCAAGTCACTCTATTCTCGAACATATAATACATGGTGATTCTCTTTAGCAACGTGATACCATTACTCACTTTGTTGAATTAGCTATTAGGGGCTTGTTGTGTATAGCTTTGGAATACGTAAAGCAATCATTGGTGGAGTAAGCTAGCTTTCATCTCTGCCAATAGTGGACCCTTGGAGAAACAAGAAATATGATGAAGGTGATATAATACTCTTATTATTGACACACTGTGGCTAGTTATGAAGCACTTAAATATGCATCCAGATTCAAATCATGCACTGGAAGAGGCCTACTTCGGAACAGATACCACCCAAGGTCTTCGATCAAGCAACAACCTCAAACCTTGGTCTTGCGCATCCATTTTCGACGCGGTTACATGCACTCCACTTCTGAAAAAGTGTATCTCTTTACAAAACAAAACTTTTTGGTATCATGTCCCCGCAATAATGAATACATTCTCGTACGCCGTGTGAAAAGAAATCATCACCCTAGCAACCTCGAGGTCCGCCTAAGTCCAGCCGAACCCTGCCCGAAAAAGAAAAGGCCAACAACACCTTGCACAAAAGAAAAAAACGCAGCCAGAATACAACGAAGAAAAAGCGATTACCAAACCTCCAAAACAACATACCAGCGAATGACGCTTCCGACCAAAAACGCCCAACTTCCGACCATGGCTGCAATCGCAGCCCGGATCTCACCCTCTTCCACAGATGCCTCCTTCTGAAACAAAAAGATGCCCGCCATCATGAACGCGAAACCTCCGATTGTGTTCAAAAAAGCGCTTATCCAGTCCGGGTCTGTGATCTTGGGTTTGTACCAACGCTCCTGCTCTGAAAACGCCAGCATGGCATTGCCCACGAAAAACAACATTCCATGGACGACCTGAGGTCCAAAAACAATGGAGGAGAAGTATGGACTTTCTTCATCCACCACACCGGGGAAATCCACAATGCCACCGAACATGAAGATGACGCCGCCAAAGAGGACGATAAGACCTGCTTGGAACGCTAGGCTGTTAACTGTGAGGTCCAACAGCTTGGCCCGGGAAGGGATCCAACAGAACTGTGGCGTGCCAACAAGAGCAGGTCGGTACATGACTTTGTTGGGTTTGGTCTTAGTGGCTCCGATTTGGCCACTGTCGGCATTGAGGGCGCCAAAAGTGTCGAAGACACCGGCGATGAAGAAAAGGATTGAGCCGATGAGAATTGTGAGGGGCACCGCGACAATATCCTGCTCTGATTCGGCAAAGGAAGAGGAAGGATAGAGACGGGGTAGCAGGTCAAAGAAGGCATTGATTACGAGGTCGATAGAGCCAAGGAGGAGGATGATGGCGACAAGGTAGATGGGGTCGCGGTAGGGGAAGACAGTAACCATTTTCTTTAGTCGCACTCTGGTCGAGCTGGACTCTTCCCATTCCATAACGGAGAGGTTGTCGGTCGAGTCGACGAACTTGTCCTCGATGTATATCTCTTTCATATCCGCATCCTTCTCCAAATCAAAGACAGCGGGTGCAGCAACTCGCTCCGATTCACACTTTTGACGATGCTCAACATGATCAACATGAACGAAATCTTTTAGTTTGTCTTCATGAGCAGACCGTGGTCGTAGTGCTATGACTGGATGGCCGATGATGCTCACTCGCGCCTGGCGGATGTATGATGCCCGTACTGTTGCAGAGGCGTTCATTGTATGTGACCCACAATTTTGTGCAAAGATAAAAAAGGTTATAACAATACACCGAGGAAGTGAAGTGGGGAATAGGGAAAAGGGGAAAGCGGGACAAATGAGCGACTATAGCTGCGAGCAGCAGAAAAAGTGAGTGTTATGGCCCTCCCTTCACTCCGGGCTGTGCTGAGGCACCAGCACGGCTTTAAACCGGAACACTCACACGTCCGTCACACGGACTCAACGCTGTCAGGTAATTGTATTTACTTTGCCAAGGTCTTGGATCGCAGACGCCCAAGACCACAGACGTGTCGGACCCACGAGCTTCGTCATGCTCCTGACGAACCAGAGGAAGTCGGCGCTTCCACAAGCTTTTTGCAAGCATTATGTTTCGTTTGTTATTCGCCTTGGGTGGATCCTGATTAGCACAGCGTGGTCCCGGATCTCACCATTTCCGCCCAAGGTAAGGCGCCGGTTGTGATCGACGGGGATCCTAGCGTTTCAGCATTTGAACAGGGTGTGCGCGTCCCAAAATGGCGACAACTGAGTGGCGGTGCATCTAAAGGGCCAGAGATGGACGGGAGCCGCCGTCCGAACTGGGTCTGCGAAACGAGCCTGAAGCGTTAGCGCGCTGCTGGATGCGGCTCAAGAGGCATGCAAAACCAACAGTTGATGAGCTCAGCCACATTTACTTTTTCTTCTCGTATCACATATTTCATGTGAATGCACGACCACTGGATCATTCAGCTCGTCGGCTGTACTCGTGGGTTTGTCCTACGTCTATCCAGGCGCCAAGTTCACAGCCAAGGAAGTCCTGGCGATGCTTGCGGCCCGACAATCTTACAATGGGTGCACAGGCAGTGAATTGATAATGATGAGGCCCAATCAAGATGAGGCGTATAGGGCAACACTGCAACTAGTGTTATGGAAGTTGTTGATAAGTGTGTATCTGAAACGGGAAAACAACAGCTAAGCTCGTCGTCGATCAATAATCACACCGAAGTTATCGTGCGATACGCGTAGAATGTACGAGAAAGGGGCTGTCGATCATGACGGTCGGACGTAGTGTGATCTACTATGTAAACACATACGTACACCTTCTAGTTCGAGGTGGTCTACCGTTTCCAGAAATCAATCAAGCTACCGAGCATTGCGCAATCATGGATCATGTGCGTTTGATCTTTGCTTGAAGTGGTTCGCACTGTTGACGCATATTCCACTCAGGGTATATTCTGTATTTTCATCCGTATACATTTACTTACGTTGCAGGCCGAAAGCGAGATCTCTCATCAGCTTTCCGTCCCAACAGTTGGGAATATGGCTACAGCCTTTGACATAGGGGCCCAATCCCGCTCCGCTGACAAGATCTTGGGCGGAATCTCATGTTCGGCCCAATTGATCAAAGTATTGAGCCGAGCTCCTTGTCGAGCTCCGGGCCCGCTCCACTTTCCGCGATCCTGTATATCCGGAGCGAGAAAGAGGCAGAAATGCTTGTCCGGCTCGTACGCACTGCTCTTGATGCTCTCTGCTTTCTGACGAGGGTCTATAGTATTCTGTGTGGTATTTATTGATCTTCAAGGCTAAGCATGGTTGTTGACCAAGTACCTGAGTCACGCAAAGCCAAAAGACTTAGGCGATCAAAACACAAAAGGCTGCCGTAAGTACGAACTCATAGTTTACTCATCAATATGGCCCAAGTTGTAGCTTGCGTTTTGGGGAACGTATTTCGTCCAAATATTGGCAAGGGATAGGACGCGATTCAGCTCACATTTTTCGACTTTGTTACAAGTACTTTCTGTGTGGATCGTATTGACGCCTTACGCAAGGCCAGCGGTCGCACCCGAACCTTGTCACCACTTCGGTCCTTGACAGATGTCGGTGATAAGTTTTAATATTCCATCTATGAATATATAGGTGTGCTGGGCATGCAAGTGGGCACTTGCTCACCTACAAGAGTCGTGAGGTCAGACTTACGACGTACATGACTCTGCGACTTCGAGGATACCATCTCACATGTGATCCAATTTACCGCAATATTCAATAGCCTTCTTCCTGGAGAACTTCAGTAGTCTTCTGTCGAGTAGACAGTATATTATATGTGATAAGGTTTCTCTCAGCTGGTTTTCAATGTGCAGTTCGCCCGAAGTGCTCAGGATATACATGCGCTGACCTCTTGATGGCCACTGTCGGCCAAGCCAGCAGCCCAATCATCCCTTAACGCTCCATCATGGGTAAAAATGGCCCGAACATACCAGACCAGCAATGTGATTTTCGGTGCTACAGCTCGGCATCAATGAATGTCACCATCAGTCCCGAGATATCTGGAGATGAAACGTGTCACTAAACTGCTGACTTTGTTAGACATTGTTAATGATGTCTTGGTGTTGTGTTTGACAGATGAATATATTTGATGCCTCAGGAAAGTCTAAGATAAGTGATAACTTTAATGAAGGAGGTGAAACCGGTAGAGGACTCGAAGGTATGACACATCTGTCGCTGCGCTTAGCTGCATGTCCTCCCCGCAACCATAACTCGGCAATCTAGTTGTCATTTAGCGGGCGTGGGTACATTTTTTGGAAGTGATCAAAGCCCAAACGGAATAGATCTCCCAAGGCAGTTTCAAGGGAGCTCGACAAAGCTGCGGTAGCAAGGTGGCTGCTGGTTCAGAGGTCACCATTACCAATCCCACAACCCCATCGGTTTCCGAATGCGCATACATCGTACCGACTTCTCGTTGCAGTCCTTCATAAGACGATCAATGCCTTCTTTCCTTTCATCTGACCACGTCCAAATGGACGCACACGCTGGGTTTCTTCTGCTCATCAAACTTTTACATCAATCGCTTCAGAGATAGCAGCAGCTGTCAGCGTCGTAACTGGGTAAATACAAGAATAGGTACCTTGTTCCCTTCCAACACGACCGCGCCTATCAGGAGAGGCCGGGACGTTGATCCTTCCGCTCCGTGGCCAAGAAATTCGAAATTGCCGGAGCGGGATGGGTCTGCAGTCAGATCTAAGAAAAGATCCACTGGGAGTTACTTGGTTCCCAGTCAACCACACACACCATCATGAATGCACGAACTGAACCTAGTCTCATGTCACATCCACCCTTTTATCCGAAAAATCGCGTTGTGGTGATGATATCTCAGCCAACTGCCGCTCTCAGCAACGAGCCGTGGAACTCTTTGACTTGGCACGATGAGAATTTATGTGACACGCGGGTGTCTGGTCCTCATGTTCACCCAGCAGACAGGATACGTCGAGGTTCATACAGTTCGGCGTTATGCGTGTATACCGTTCCCGTCTGTCAGTGCGCTGCCCGGAGCGGGTGAGGCAGAAAGGCGCCGTGCCCTCATGCACGAACCCGGTCGGTATGTCAGCCGCCCCAACCTTTAACGGCATAGGCAAAGCACAGCGAGCGCCTAATGGCCAAGATTAGCTGCGTGGCGAAGTACTTTCTACCCACTAATGCACTTATCGTTACACTACAGAACGAACCATCTGGTGAAGTGGTTTGGTTCGCGGGTATTGCGATCGAGTGCATCTTGTGGGTGTTTTCCAACACGCGTCTCATGGGGCAGAAAACACTGCCGAATAGGCGTCAATCGTATATTCTCGGATCACTAGCTTATTGTAATGGTACTGTTTTTGGTCCCTGGACCTGTTGCAGGTGAAGCGATGGATGCTTGGTCGCCTTAGACAAGCGTTGCCCATATCATGAAGATGTCTCTAATGTCTTTTCAAGCCACCAAGGTGGGTGGCCCTACCAGATCTCTAATCTACTCAGTTTCATAATGATACGGCGGGTTGCTATTTTCCTGGAAATCTCATAATCATACTTTCCTTACTGCTTCGTTTTCGCAGATATTCTTGTCATCCCTTGGTATTTTCTTTTTTGTTTTCCATCAAACACAGCGAATTTCACTTCCTTCAAGAGCTACGATGGCGACCATACAGGGTCATATGGATGCTATCAAGCTGGTCTCGTGGACTCTCGCAGTCACTGTAGTGGTCGTTCTCATCGCGCGGCAGATTGCGAAGACAGTTGTTTTCCGAAAGGTCGGCTTGGACGATAGTTTTATTCTCATAGCATCTGTAAGTGAACTTAGAAACTACTGAACTTCACAATAAGACTAACCAAGCCAGATATTCGCCATCAGCTTATCTGCTACTGTGCTTATTCTTACAGCCAGCGGTCGCGCTTTCTCCTTCTCCTTGACCTTTTCGCAGGCAGACATCCTTTCTAAGGGATACTATACATCAGAACTATTTTATATATCAGGTGTATGCTTTCCTAAGCTCTCTATTCTCGTTCTTTTCTTCAATATCGTAGCGAGTCGACAATTCCTTCGCCGCATGGTACTCGCTCTTGGCATCTTCATCTCCACCTGGACTTTAGTGGCTTTGGTAACCATCGCATTCCAATGCGAACTTCCACGTCCATGGAAAACAACCAGTTCGCATTGTCTCAATTTTGTGAGTGGATCATCCAAGCAACCATGCCTATATAATACGAATACTGATTCTCGTAGCGGATTTTCTGGACTATCTATTGTGCATTCGACGTACTAACTGAGACTGCACTGGTTACAATTCCCATGAATATAGTCGCGTCTCTCCAAATGCCCCTCTGCCGCAAAATGGCGGTTGTCTTGTGCTTTTCTCCTCGCCTCCTTGTCATTGCAGGGACGATTGTTCGAACCATCTGGGTCTATCCTACCATACCACAGCGACATGATCACCATCGAATTTGGGAACCACTGGTCGCAATGCAGGTTCACTTATGTATGAGCATCATTACTGCGAGCATTCCATTCATGGTGCCTTACTGTAGGGAACTTAGTCATAGATTGCAAGGATCTACCTCCATAAGATCTTCAATGCATCTACAGGACAAAAAGGTTGGCCATCCGACATCAATCTGGTTTCGGAGACATCAAAAGAACAGGGATGCTGTTATGCGAAATTCGGACCCTGAAAGTGCTGCTCACTATGAACTTGTACCAAGAGTCTCGCCTAATATTCTCTTCGCAAGGTCGACAAACCCTATGGCAACCGGGGCGCTACAAATGTCGCCAAAACAGAAGTCGAGTGTACGAGGTCTCAATATACACATCCCACATCGTAGTTCTCTGGGGAGGCAAAGTCATGAGCTAGTGAGCCCA